CAGCTCTGTCCTGGGACCTGCCTCCCCTTCCCCCCTGGGATGGGGGGTCTAGAAGCTCCTGCCTGTTCCCTGGCTGCTTTTATTGAATTCCTCCAGAAGTAAGTCCAGCTCTTCCATCAGAAGGTCAGTGGAGGTGAGAGCCCACGTGCGAGTTCTTTCCCTGGAGTGTTTTCTCTGCTGGCTGGGCAGGGGTTTGTTGCCCTCCCCCAGGGCAGCTGGAGCTGCTGCTCAGGGCTCTGCCACGTCCAGCTCTTGCTTTTTCCCTTGCTTTACCTTCGGAGTGACTCCAGGAGGAGCCCGGGGGTTTCTCTTCAGCTAACAGCTGGTTCTCCAAGTCATAGCTGGCGCCGGTCCCTGTGCTGATAAACAACACCGTGCCTGACAGCTCCTTGGCCAGGGCTGCAGCACGGGGCTGAGCAGCCAGAGATCATTCTGGGGCTGATGTTCCTGTAAGTGCCTTCTCCATCTGTTTCTGAAGGCCAGGGGTGATGCTCCATGTGAGGGGGTGGCCGTGGGGCACCCTCCTCTTTCCACTCCCAGACAAGAGGCAGGAACTGGCAGGGCAGGGGTGTTAAAATACCATATTTCTGAAGTGCCTTATCAGGGACCCTTCTGGGGAGAGGTTTGGATGCCTGCTCTGGCTGCCGGCCTTCTTAGGGACAGGGTGTGAACTGGCTTGTGGACTGTGTGCTTCCCCCAGCCTAGTTTGAGGCTGAGAGAGTTGGGCTTGCTCAGCCTGGAGAGGAGAAGGCTCTGGGGAGACCTTCTGGTGGCCTGCCAGGATGAAAAGGGGCCCGTCAGAAAGCTGGGGACAGACTTTTGGTAGGGCCTGTTGGCACTGGGTGAGGAGGATGGTTTTAAATTAAAAGAGGGAGATTTAGACTACATTTTAGACTAGATTTTAGACTGCCTCCTACAGCTACTCAAATCCTCGCTGAAGGAAGGAGATCTGCTGGTTTGTTTTAGTCCTTTTCAGGCTTCGTTGGATTTCTCTGTGTAGTGTCCAGGACTGTTGGAGGCTGTAGTTCTGTTTTAGCTGAGCGTGAGGGGATACAGAAACCGTGGGGCCAGGGGAACCTTCACACAGGACTGTACAACATCACCTCAATCTTTTTATGCTGTAAAGCTCACCGGGTGACTACAGCCCTGAGATATGCGATTAAAACGTAGAATTCCTTCCCAAAAAAGCTCTCCTGAGTTTTTCAAGCCGTTTTGGGGACAGCCTGGGGGAAAAGGAGATGAGGATGGGGGGTGGCTGGTGGGTGCCAGGCTGAGGTCACAGCCCCGGGCTGGCTGTCCCTGTGAGCTCTGTTTACAATGTCCCCAGCACTGGTTTCCTGGGGTGGTGATGTGTTCCTGAGGGTGGATTTCCTCCCTCCCTCCCGCTGGGCTGGGGACTTGAAAGTAAAACAAGATCTTGTTTGGAAGGGAACAAAGGACTCGGAGGTAGCGATGAGCTGGTTAATATCAACACGAGGGGAGGGGAAAGAGATTTCAGCCCTGGGATTGATTTTGAGACAAAGGGCAGCGTGGCTGGGGCTGTGAACGCCCTTGGGCTGGCCGGCAGTGCCCGGGGTCAGGCAGGACAACAAGGGAGCCCTGTGCCAGGGGTTCAGATGGCTGCAGGGAGGCCGTGAGAAATGGGGTCAACCTGAGAGTGTGCCCAGAGCTGCAGCTGCCCCCCAGCCCCCCCAGCGTGCTGTGCAGCAGGAGGAAAGGGCAGGGGAGGTTTTGGAGCCGTCACCTGGCAGGGGGCAGGCGCCCGGCAGGACGGAGCTTTCGGTTTCGGGCAGCTTGAGCTTTTTTTCCCTGTGTGGTTCTGAGCTCTGGGGCCACGGGGCTGGGAGAGGCAGCACCGGAACGGGCTGGGAAGGGCAGAACCGGCTCCGCGCCGCGGGGGCAGCTCCGTAACAGGCACCCGGGTTTCCCGCCCATCCTTTTCCCCGAAACCACGAGCTGCTGCTGCCTGCCTGCACTGGCATCGCCCCTGAGGCTGCAGG